GTCCAGGTAACAGCCGTATTGTTTAGACATCAAATAATGCCACGACCTGGACCTCTGCCTGCTCCTAAAGCTTTGTGTCTTGGGATCCGGTGCTCTCAGAGGCATTTGGATTCTCACTTCGGTGGTCTTGACTATTCGGCTTGTAGCTGTACATCCAGGTGTTCTTGAAAAAGGATGACTCAGTGGGCTACCGGGCCTTGGTGCAGACGGATGATCATCTGCTATTTTTCCTGCAGCAGCTGGGTAAGTAGACCTCATTCAACCCATTTTATTCCCAAGCCTGCCTGTGAGCTCCAGTCAGACAGCTTTTGGGGGTGGGGGTGGGGCTGTGGACAGACTGCTGGGAAAGGTTCAGGTGGAGTGTGCCCTGAGTATTTTTTCAGAGCCATTATGTCACCTGCTTTGGATACTTCTTTAGCATTCTAGGGTGGGAGACAGAACTTTTCTCACGTAACCTATTGAGTCCAGCCCCTTGCTCTGCCGCTTCTATTTTTGCACAAGAGCTGTGGTGATCCCTTAGTCACCTAGAGTCTCTTCAGACGATCCGGGAGGCAGGCTTAGCTTTTGTAAGATGGTTTCTGTAGCAGGGAAGGTGGTGCTGTGGAGCCGCGAGGAGTCCTTGGCAGAGGTGGTGTGCCTGGAGATGGTGGACCTCCCCCTGACTGGGGCGCAGGCTGAGCTGGAAGGAGAATTTGGCAAAAAGGCAGGTATGAACCTGAGAGGCTGGGACAGCAGAGTTGTTGGAGGGGCTGCTCTGGGAGTGGGTTTGTTGGATGGACCATAATAGACTCTGAGTCACGGCATCCCTGGCTTCCTTGGCTCAGCGAATTGCCAGTGTGTTCTGAACGAGCTCTGTGACCATGTGGTGTATATATCCATTCTTTTCTGTGAAAGAGCGAACTGTGAATCCCTCTAGGGAAAGATCCAGAGGGAAAAACATCTTAGTATAGTAACAGCTGCTAGTGTCTGAGTACTGAAAATCTGTCAGGCACCGTGCCAGGCACTGAACACTCACTGTCATCCTCAAAGCAACAGCCACATCTGTCTAGAGAGACGTGGGTGGGTTGATCTGGTTATTGTGGAAGTAACCCCCTACCCTCTGAAGCCAGCCACAGTCGCATCCCCCAAAATGAACTTGATTTAGTCTACTCTGATTCAGTCCTGCCCCCAGCTCTCTCCTGCCATGCGTTCATCTAGCTCTCCAACAGATAGTTACCGGGGGCGTCTACTCTGGGCCAGGCACCCTACTAGGCATTGTGAATTTTCTTAAGCTGAGGATTAATTTGACTCTACTATTTATTTCTGCTGCCTGGATCCAGCGATTCAAGGTAAAACCTGCTTCTTGCTGCCTTGTTGCTCATTGCCTGCCCACATGGCTAGCTTTTGGTTAATTATGTGTTCTTCCTGACTTGCATCAGTGAGGTACTACTTACCGTGTGTGTGGACTGCCATGCTTGTGACTTGTCCTGTTTGCCTTTCACTTCTCTTCCTTGAGCTGAGGTTGGTGGAGAATAAGATAAGCAAAGGTGCTACTTTTCTTTAGCGAGCACTTACCATGTACCAGGCACCATGCTAAATCCTGTATATGCATCATGTGATGTAATCTTTGCAACAGCCTTATGGGTTACATGCCATTTTACAGATGAGGAACCAGAGGCAAAAGGTTAGTACAGTTTCCAAGCCTGCATAGTAGTAATTAGTAGGGCTGTGATTTTAATCCAGGCCTGACTCCAGAGACCTTGCTACCTTGCGTCTCTCTCACCAAATCTGTGGTCTCCCGTGGAGGACATTTGAAGGGTGGTGGCCTCATTGATGGACTCGGGGATAGAGTGAGTGCTGGCCCTGGGAATTGGTTATAAGTAGGTCTGTTGGGTGCAGGTTAAACAGTTGGCACAGTAAGAAACAGAAGTACCCATTCATGATACACATACACTTGCACCCCTGAACCTCCACACCTGCACCTCTTCTGGCTTTGTCGTGGCACCCAGAAGCTTTCTTGTGGCCATCCTGGATGTGGGGCTGTGGTGGAGACATTCACAGCATGGCTGCATCCTGCATGGCTGATCCCTGATTCTTAGCCTCCTATTCAACGATTCCAGGCAGGTGAAGTCATAAGAGCCAGGTAAGTAATTTCTGGAAGCTCTTGCATGGCTATACCTGAGTGTGAGACTGTGGGCCTCAGACACAGGACAGCCCCTTGGGCTTGTGGCCTGGAGTGTGGACTTTAACACTCCAGAGGAGAGGGAGAGATCCCTCATTAGGAAAAATGCACACCTCCCTGTTGGACCCCTAGTCTGATGCAGAGCACGTTACCTTTTCCCTGACACCAGACGGCTTGCTGGGGATGTTCCTGAAACGCCTCTCGTCTCAGCTTATCCTGCTGCAGGCGTGGACTTCCCACCTCTGGAAAATGTTTTACGATGCTCGCAAGCCCCGAAGTCAGATTAAGAATGAGATCAACATCGACACCCTGGCCAGAGATGAGTTCAACCTCCAGAAGATGATGGTGATGGTAACAGCCTCAGGCAAGGTGAGCGGGGTTTATACCCCAGGTCCCAGGTTTTGAAGTTCAGGGGGTGGGAAACAAAAAGCCTTCGGTAGAGGGTAGCACTGGTTCTAATTTTCAAGGACAGAATCAGTTCTTTGGTGTCTCTTTCTAGTTGTGTGCCAAGTATTTGTTTATCTTGCAGCTTTTTGGCATTGAGAGCAGCTCTGGCACCATCCTGTGGAAACAGTATCTACCCAGTGTCAAGCCAGACTCCTCCTTCAAACTGATGGTCCAGAGAACTACTGCTCACTTCCCCCATCCCCCACAGTGCACCCTCCTGGTGAAGGACAAGGTGAGGCCGCCCACCTCTGACTTGAGCCAGCATGTCTAGTTCTTGGTTAGGTTTGGAGCCCGAGACAGTTAGACATTTATCCTTGAGCTTTTTTGCTGTTTTGCAGCTGAAATTTCTCCTAGGCCCTTGGAATTCTATTAAAGAGTAATATTCAGGGGCTAGAACTCTTTCTTCCAATTTCATGCCTGGGTGGAGGAACCGTCCTGCACTGATGAGGAATTGACTGTAAAGGGGGTGCGACTTCATCGTGTTCGCGGGAAGCCAGCTCTCTTCCTTTCCAAGCATAGGCTGCTGTTGGTAGCCGAGTGGCTGTTTTCTCTTCTGTGAGGAAGAGCAGGACGCTGCTGTTTGTGTCCCTGCCTCCCGGCATCACAATGGGCTTTAGTGGATTCATTCCAGAGTTAGAAAGGGGGCTTGGGAGGCACTCTTCTGGAATGGCCACCCTGGGGTTGCCGAATTGGTACTTGACCTTTTTATTTGTTCTTCAGCATGTCTAGTTCTTGGTCAGGTTTGGAGCCAGAGGCAGTTTGACTTTTTTCCTGTGACGTAAGGGGACCATTTGCCTAGGGGACCACTCACCTTTAGTCAAGAATTTACTTTCCACAAAGAGGGCAAAGACTAGGGAACGCCTCACAGTTGAAGTCCCAGCTCCTCGGATTAACCCTTAGGATTTGCATTCTTTTCGTGTGGATGGAGCCTGACGATTTGCCCGTTTTAGGAGACGGGAATGAGTTCTCTGTATGTCTTCAATCCCATATTTGGGAAGTGGAGTCAGGTGGCTCCCCCAGTGCTGAAGCGCCCCATCTTGCAGTCCTTGCTTCTTCCAATCATGGATCAAGACTACGCCAAGGTGTTGCTGTTGATAGACGATGAGTACAAGGTAGTGCGTCTGCGGAGGGGATGGAGGACATCCATGTGGAGTTGGGTGTGGGGCGGGGTGGTCAAACACAGTCAGCAGACCACAGGTGTGCATCTGCAGCCAGCACGTGTCTGGGCTCCAAGGCTGTCTCTAAGAGACGTTGCTGTTTCTGCACTTACGAAAACTCAGATTCTTAACAGAACTAAATTTAAGCCCTAAACTGAGTTCACTAGACTCTAATTCTTTTCAGATTTGCTGTTTTATTCTTAAGACTTTCTTTGATAGGGAAACAGTAATGAGTCTGGGGAAACTGGGCTTAGAGATTTCTAACCCTTTAACTCTTTCCTGGGGCTATCTGGGTTTTTTAAGGTCACAGCTTTCCCAGCCACTCGGAATGTCTTGCGACAGCTGCATGAACTTGCCCCTTCCATCTTCTTCTATTTGGTGGATGCAGAGCAGGGACGACTGTGTGGATATCGGCTTCGAAAGGTAAGGAAGGGGCATCTTGACAGGACCCTTTGTTAGAGGGGATGTGGATGTTTCCTGGTCATTGGCTAAGAAGTGAACTGTGCTACTCATTCTGTTATAAACTTAGATTAACATAATCCTGATGTCTGATTCGAAGTCAGTCATTTTTTCATATTTATTGAGCAGCTGCTACATGGCAGGCATGGTTCCAGGTGCTGAGGACATATCAGTGCACAATAGTCCACGTCTCTGCCCACCTGGAACCTTCATTTTACATTCCTTTTCTACGGCAGAGAGAAGGGACGTTTTTCTCCATTCTTGGGAGGGTGGGTGGTAGGAATGGGGTTGAATAATGAGTTGTACTTTTATCCAAAGAAGATGTTATTGACTTACTCTTGATAGAATGTTGCTTTGAATTTTATTTCTGGAAATAGAGTCAGTTTGCTCTGATCCTGACATCCTTTAGCCTAACTCTTAGAAACAGTGATACACATTGGCTTTGAAGTCCAGCTCTGAAGCTTACAAGGGGCTGGCCTTGGCCTTGTTAGCAGGACTGCGTGGAGCGGAGAAGTACTTTGTGGTGTCCACTCACGAAAGAGGCCTCCCATCCTGTTCCGTGAGGCCTTTTGAGAGACATAGAGGTTAAGAGCTTGGACGCGGCTGCCTGGGTTCGAAGCTCAGTTTTACCACTTACTAACTTGTTGACCTTAGGCATATTACGTCTCTAGCCCTCTGTTTTCCTTTCTGTAAAATAAGATCATATTAATAATAGCACCTACCTCATAAGGTTATTATGAGGATTCAGTGAGTTATTACATGTAAATCACATAAAACAATGTCTGGCACATGGGCAGTGGCATCGAAGTTGGAGCTTTTGCGGTTCTGAAACTGCAGTACCCTTTCCTGGCATTTGTTAACAGCTAACCTTTAGCATACACAGCATTGGCAATAGTCTGCCCAGGAAACCCATCTTTTACTCTGTGGGTGAAAAAAAAAATTATTCCTCAAGTGGATAAAAAGAGACCTTGAAAGAGATGGTTCTTTGTAGATAGAGGGGAGTGAACTAGAGTGTAGGTGTCAAATTGGTGGAGTCCTGAGGATGTCATCCAAGAGAATGGTGACCAAGGGAAGACAAAGGAGGCCGACCTTTCCGGGGGAAGTGAGTCAAGTGTGGGACACAGACTTTGACCTCCAAGCGAATTTATTGCCTTTGCCCTTGCCTGGTGACCTTCCCCTCTGGAGATGTTTCAGTGAGTTCTCATGTTTTCAAAGAAAGCCGGGGCAATGAAGGCTTATTTGTTACTAGTGAACATTTTATTATTGAAAACAATTTTGCAGCATGAATGTATTCTCATTGTAAGAGATTCCATCGATAAAGAGGTGTACAAGCCAAACCTGAACGGACCCTTGCAGCCCATTCCCAGCTGTCTTCCCCGGCTGGAAAGCCTGCCAGCAGTTGGTAGCACCTTTTCCTACTGTCCTTACTATGTGTTTATGATACCATCCTAACAGCTGTATGGACACATGTGTGTGTCTCATACATTCTTTTTCTTTTGTGGCATTGACCTACATTTGTTGTTATGAAATTTGCTTTTTTTACCTACTGGGTTTTCTACCTCATTTTTTAGTCAACAAACCTATTTCTTATTACAGTAAAACATTGAGAAAAGTGTAAAATCATGAGGTTATTGCTCATGGTAATCACGTCAGGAGGCAGGAAGCACCAGCTCCCCAGAAGGCCCTCATGCCCCTTCCCAGTCACCAGGCCCCCCCATCCCCAAGGGCTCTATGTAATTCTGTAGGACAGACATACAATAACGTATTTAACCATGAATGTTTATTTACTGGTTTCCTATGATCACAAAGAACCATACAGGAAATGTGTAGAGGTCCCTTCTAGCTTAACAATTCAATGTTGTCCGCAGTATACAGAGATCTTAGATTTTAGTAATAGTAAATTTTCTTGGATATTTCCTACCCAGATAAACAATAGGATACTACTCAGTATTCTTCTTCTTTCTTCCTGGTTTTAGTATCTTTCTTAACCAAAGTCTAAAACTTCTTCATAAACTAGATTTTTTTTTTTTTTTTTTGGTTTTTTTTGGAGATAATGTCTCACTCTGTTGCCTAGGCTTGAGTGCAGTGGAGTCATCATAGCTCACTGAAACCTTACATTCCTGGGCTCAAGCGATCCTTCTGGTTCAGCCTCCCAAGTAACTAGGATTACAGGCATGTGCCATCATGCCTGGCTAATTTTTCTATTCTTTGTAGAGAGGAGGTCTTGCTATGTCACTCAGGCTGGTCTCAAACTCCTGGCTTCAAGCAGTCCTCCCATCTCAGCCTCCCAGACTGCTAGGATTACAGGCATGAGCCACTGCACCTGGCCCATAAACCACATCTTTACTGTCATTTTTCTAGGAGTTCTAATCCCTGTTCCTTCCAGCCTAAAGGCCTCAAATAATGAACCGCGGGATACGTCTAGCTCTAGCTGTTTCAGTTCTAAGTACCCTCCTGATTACAGACTCTTTTGTCCCTGTTCTAGGATCTCACCACAGAGCTGAGTTGGGAGCTGACCATTCCCCCAGAAGTACAGCGGAT